TGAATCCTTTTTGCGAGCTCTTTTCGTAAGAGACCAGAGGGTAGTAAAGGACCAGCTGGCAGTAGCTAATCACTTAATTTCTGAAAACTTCTTTTGCGCGCTCTTTTCGTAAGAGACCAGGGAGTGGGAAGAAATTTGTGCAGCAAACACCACCACAATTTGTGAAACTCTTTTCGCGCGTCCCTTTCGTAAGGAACCAGAGAGTGAATCAGATTATGTGTGCACTTCCAATCTCTCTAATCTCTTCGCGAGTCCTGCAAAGGAACCAGAGCTAGAAAGAAGAGATTTTAAAGGAAGAAACAAATAAGGAACCACAGATCTTGCTTGTTAAGCTTGGAAGTTCTGCCAAGAACTCAAGCCAATCCTTACGGTACAGGTTCGACACACCTTACCGCCCAGCACAGCGTTCAAGCCAATCAGGCTTGCTGACAGCTAGTAGTAGCTCGGCACTCGATTGCCAGCTCTCTAAACGACTTCCTTGCATCCAGTAAGGACAGTTTTCATACAGATCAGCCCCGCTGAAAACACAGAAGCTACAGCTTTCTGTGAACCAGAGAAAGATCAAAAAAGAAGACACAAGGAGCATTGAAAGATGACGTCACCCCAACTTTTCAAGATCAGGATCAACAACGCCTGCAAACTCGTGAAATCCCACGAGCCACCAATCGACACTATTGATGTTCCCTTCACATTCCCCACACTAAAAGAAGAATGTGAGCAGTACATAAAAGAGAAAACGGGATTGATAACCAATCTTCTCAACTCTTTACACAACGCAGTGAAGCTTCAAGAGATCAGACAAATCAACTCTGCAATCGAGTACATCAGCGCACGTGAGGAAAAAGAAGGAGAGAAATTGATGATGGAGCTCAGTAAGCACTTAGAACTGGAGTCACTTGGTCTAGAAGTGATTGTAGTGCAATGGCGGACAAGGATAGAATTCCGGCAGCATGAACTGAAAGAACAAGGCACACTTCTGCATTATGATGCTCCGAGCATACCGAGTCAAAAAAGTAGTAGTAATGGACAAGCTTGGATTTCAGAACGTAATGAAACGCAGATCAAAACTCGGAAACCTCTGCTGGAAATCCCTACATTTTCAGGCAATTTCGGAGAATTTAACAGCTTCTGGGCCGTCTTCGAATCTCTCATCCACACTGAGGAGGAGCTATCGGACATGGACAAATTCTTGTTTCTGAAACAAGCCTTGAAGGGGAAAGCAGCAGACACTCTGAGCTGCATTCCCGTCATCGGAGAAAGATATCAGACAGCGATAGATATTTTGAAAAAACATTTCAATCGCTCTGCCAACATGGCATATCTTATATATAAAGCTGAATGTCTGTTTGTCTGTCTGTCTGTATGTCTGTCTGTATGTCTGTCTGTCTGTATGTATGTACGTATGTTCCGAATACAAATTTTTATTTCTGAACCGATCGGGACCAAACTTGGCACACATATACTTCAGGGCAGGGAGCGTGTCATAGGCTACTTTTCGTTATCGATCGATATCGATTTTATTGATTTTTTGCAAAATTCGAGCTAGAGGGCTGGGATTTGGCAGAGGGGGGTAATCGAGCATGCTGATCACCCCGAAGGGATGATCAGCATGCTCGATTACCCCCCTGTGCAAAATCCTAGCCCCCTAGCTCAAATTTTGCAAAAAATCGGTAAAATCGACATCGATCGATAACGAAAAGTGGGCTGTGACACGCTCCCTGCCCCGAAGTGTATGTGTGCAAAGTTCGGTCCCAATCGGTTCAGAGATAAAAATTTCTATTCGGAACATACGTACACGGGTCTAGCTGGCAGGCCCGGCGGAGCCGGGCAAGCCAGCTAGTATACTTATAAACGAGATCGAAAAACTAGCCAGGGCCTCAGATGATCCAAGAATTTGCCAAGACACCTTCGAAGCAATCAACTCAAGAATCGTTCACCTGGAGCAAACGGGAGCAAAGATGAATGCAGACGGAATTTGGCGTCGAATAATCTTCTCCAAATTTCCCGAATCCATCTGTACGACCGTCATCCAGAAAGAAGCGGTACAAGATGATCCATTTGATGTTAGCGAAATCCTGCACCATCGACGGCATTCATTACGAGAGACAATCTTGCCAACGACCGAAACTCTCTTTCCAACCGACTACTACTCGGATAACCAAGAAAATGAAATGATTATCAGATGTGAAGGAACAGAACACTTCTCGAAACCAGGGCGCTTGTGTTTATGTGGACAACCACATTCGCCTTATACCTGCCAGAGATGCACCACTCCAGAGGCGACTTGAAGCCACAAACCAAGAAGCGTGCTGGAGATGTTTCGTAAGAAACCACGACTCAAACGCTTGTACGAATATTGGAGTATGCCCTCAATGCTAGGGATCGCATCACGGATCTCTTTGCTTGTCAGAAGCAAGACAACGCAACGGATTTTCCACGCATTGAGATTCTGCGCTCGAAAATCACCAGCATTCACCCACTTCTTCGCCGCAACATGATACGATCCAGGATCGCAGCGAGATGAGTAATATGCACGTCGTACAAGGCTCGCAGAATGAGCAAGAATCCCACAACCCAGAAGCGCTTCCACTTGCACAGGAGCAATTCTTCAAATCGCTTCCCCACTGATATTCAACGAAGCAGAGTGGGATTACCAACCAACGACCATACTCCTTGACTCTAGGGCACAACGAAGCTTCATCAGATCAGGACTCTGTGAAGAACTCAAGCTTCCAATTGTTCGGACTACTTCTTTCACTACATCAGGAATGGGCGAACACCAAGAGCAATTCAACTCATCTGAGGTCCACATCACCTTGAAGAGTCTTCACACATCCGAGAAGCTCAAGAAATTGTCATTGCATACAAAGCAAAAGCTGACAACCGACATGCAGACAGCAAGTTTCATGGAAGCAGACTTGCATTTCATCAATGACGAAAAGCTGATAATTGCTCAGGATACGTTCTCCCACAAAAGCCTGTTACCGGACCTGATCATCGGCAAGGCCTTATAAATCTTGTCACCCTTCGCAATAAGAGAGTGCTTAAGCTCCCATCAGGGCTCATTTTGACCCCAACAACCTTCGAATACGTCATATCAGGGACGAGTCGCACCACCACTACAGCAAAATCCGTTTGCACTTTCGGTTGCATAACAACTCTACAACAAGCATCTCCGCCAACAAAACTACAGCAGTTTTCTTCATCTAGGGAAGACAATCCAGAAAAATGAGACGGACGTTTAAAGCTTCCATCTTCAGTGAAGCTCAAGCAAACAGACAACGTTGGCTGGATATAATCCGCTTCCTAATAAATTCTTTCGACAATTCCGCGATGATTTCGAGTGGAATGAGTACCATACCACATCTCCTTATCTGAGGAAGCAAGCAGTGACAAGGATGACGAAAGCATCATGGAGAAGACATCACAAAAGTTCAACCCTTATCAGAACGACGCCTACCGAAAAGATGATCGTCAGTAATGCTTCTACTATCAATTCAAATTCGACGAGGAGAACAAGACGACAACGACGAGCAACGCCGAAGCGCAATCCAGTTCCAGCAACCAGAAGCTTTTCCCATTACTATGACTGTAAACTATCCTACTTTTGTGTGAATATTTAGATATTACTTGCAGCTCTTTCTTCATAGCTGAATGATCTGTATGCTTAGATATTAACTGATTCGCTAGTCAACCTTACATGTATCCACATTTATGATCTTACCATATCTCATTTTCCTCTCGCTCGCCTGGAGGTTGTTGATTTCTGTATCATCAACCATTAATGAACGCTATATTCTACATAGCCTACGGAATTCCCGTAGGCTAATTGGTGAGCTACTCACTCCTGAGTATCTAATCACTCAAGAGTGAGTGGTACCCGTGCGCCAGGAGTGTAGCCAATCGGCGGCTTCTCCTTTCAAGCACCAACTCGTGTACATTGTACCCTGTATTCGGTTCAGCTTCGCCTTCCTTCGTATATAAGGAGCCTCCGAATGTATTAGATGTTTCTCCCCGGTTATCACCGGGACACCTCGACAGATCGCTCTCAACTAATCTACGTCAGTGCGAATAAATCTATATTCCACTTCGTTTGCCCCATTCACTTGGTACACACCAAAAGCATAATGGATCTCCCATTCCAGCATTTTACACATATTTTACACCCCAAAACGCGATCGTTTTGAATGCTGTATTATTCCCACGCACGTCCAATTCGCAGCGTCTTTCGCCTGAGCACTACAGGAGAAAAGTTTGCCAATTGGTGATATATTAGTACATCTTAAAGCCAGCGTACAGGCAAATGTGGACATACAGGGTTCTGATGTGGAAAGTAATTTTAGGACCATAACTAAGGCACTGTCCAAGCGGCAGCTTGAATGGTGAAATTGCAGTTGAGATATTCGCCTCCAAACTGGACCCCTGATCGTATGCGCATGGATTCTGGCGCGACACGCGTGGTTCTCGCGCGAAACCGATGCGTGTCGCGCCATGAATCCATGCGAATATGATCTCGGGGTCCAGTTTGGAGGCGAATCTTAACTGTAAGCTCACCATTCGAGCTGCCGCTTGGGCAGTGTTTTAGTTAGAGCTCCAAGATTACTCTTCAAGTGAGGTCTTCTTAGGGCCAGATTTGACTGCACGCTGCCTCTAAGCAAGTACATAGCTAATGTACTGTCCGAAAAACGGCCGTTTTTTCTGAGACTTTGGTCCAAAGTGGTAAAAGTAACGGCTTGTTCGTAACTACATCGAACAAATATTGACCATGCCATCATGTTGGTTAACATAAAGCTTTGACATTTCTCGATAAATTTCGAGATTTAGGTCTTGTACCAGAGCAACTGTCAATTGTGCGGCTTTGTGCTAGTTTTTGGTCGATTATGTTTATCATGTTCTTTTCGTTCCCTCAAATATTGTCATACAATTGTAACTCTAAGAAATCGTATACATTTATGCAAATATACGTTCAAAGCCCAATTTAACTGTTTTTAAACGTATAAATGCATAAAAAAAGCCATTTCTGTACAAAACCGCCCAAATTCGACATAACGGTTTGTTATAATCCTTCTTTTCAATAGGCTGGCACCAGTGGCGTACCGAGGGGGGGGGGCGAGGGGTACCCCCCAAAAATGGATCGCGAAATTTTTGAAGGTTACTTATATGGGTTATAAAAATGTGCAAGTGACTTGTTTATACTTGTAATTGATAAAAATTTTTTTAAATTTTTTAAAAATTCAAATTAGCCTTGTAAAAAAATTTTTTTCGGGGTAGGGGACCCGCAAAAATTTTGAGAAGCACCACTAGAATTTTTTCGGAGTGCGTGGCCAACGCCACGCACCTTCATTCGAAAAAATCGCTCCCCCCGAGCGGAAATCCTGGGTACGCCATTGGTTGGTACATAAGTTTTGCAACTTATTTCGTAACTTTTCTCTTTTTGATGTGACGCATTCATTCTTAGATATGATGTATAGGGTTGTTTCAAAAATTCTACCCGTCTTCGATACCTTTTTTTGAACTGCCGATTTTGGAGGAAGAAAATTTTTCGTAAACAATGCTTATATCATTCAAAAGCCTTTTTCTTCTAGTTTTTCAGATTTTCGTTTTCATAGATCTTTGTTCTTGTGTGGTTGCGTACTTTAAAAAGGCAGCGAAACAAATGTGAAAATGTTCGTTTTTGCTCTATCGCCGCGAAATCTACAGCCAAAAGGAGAAATTTCCTCTAAAACATACATAATGTTTGCCGGAGACTTGTGCTAGGAAATGCTCATCGAGATAGGATTTCAGAAAAATTTTGAACTCACCAAATTTTTAGCTCAAACATAACCCGTCTTCATGGTCCCTTCAAGTCACACGAAAATCATAATCATGTTGCATTCGCGGAACTTTAACTCTATATAGTAAGATTGGAGCTAGAACAACTGCCAATAAAAAAACGAAAAGATTTCCTGGTTTGTCAATGGCGAGCAAAATCAAAAATGTCAAAAATTGCATTTCTTGCCGCCTTAGAAGGAGCAAAATAATGGGTCCTTTCGGACTTTTCAGCACAAAATTTTTACGAAAGAGTTTGATGAATCCCAAAGTTAGCGGTACTGCTCAGTCGACTATGGGCTACACTGTGAGCAGTGCTGTGCAACAGCTATATTCCAAATCCAGTTATGCTTCTGCAAAGTGAAGGTTTCTACAAGGAGATGTTCCTCAATTTTCGCCTATAAAATCTTCTCCACTGTTATTGCAATAATCCTAAAGAGTGCGCAGAATTGCCAAAGATTTGCAGATTGCAATACATTTCATAGCAATTGCAAAGATTATTTCTGAGAAGAGTTACGGTGAATCAAAGTCAAAGTTGAAAACAGGTAGAACTTTTGAAACAACAACAGAATAGATAGAAGGCTACAAAACTGCGCAAACAGTATAATTTTTGGTTGCAAAATGGAGAGAACTTATTTATTTTTTGGAAGCTGGTCAATCCGAAATTTCAAGGGTTGGAAAACCAAAAATATAGCCGTTCTCAGTCTGAATCAAACACATCAAGCCGAAACTGTGTAGGTGATTAGAGTTTTCCTGACCAATAATCTGGGTACAGTTTCGGCTTGATTTATTTGAATCAAACTGAAACGGCCTTATTCTGGCTTTTCGACCCTTGAAATTTCGAATTTGACAAGCTTCCGAAAAATTAATATATTTCCTCCATTTCGCTACCAAAAAATTAAAAATAAAAATTGTTCGCACTTGTTTGTGGCCTATTATCTATTTCAAATTATCCCAAAAATGAAGCGTCACAGTCAAAAAGAGAAAAGTTACGAGATAAGTTGCAAAACTTGTTTGCCAACCTATTACTTTAATGAATTAAAAATTTGCAGATGCTGTATCCAATTGCGTTCTTGTTAGCTGCGCTCCTAGTAAGCCAAACGGAAGGCCTTGGAGTCAGGAAGGCAAAGGAAGGCATGCAATCTGTGGCAGTGAAAGGCAGTTTGTTTTGTTTCGGAGAACCAGGCAAAAATGTGAAAGTCAAGCTTTACGATGAAAAGAAGGGAGGACGTTTAAGTTGTAAGTTTTGATGTTGAACAAGCTCTTGATAAAGGCTACTGCATGACGAAGGAGCACAAGCAGTATTGGTTGAAAGATATTGCCGACAGATACAAGGCACTTAAAATGACAGATCTACCAGCGCGTATTAGGTTTTGAAAAAAGTTCTCAGGTATTCTTAAAACTTTATTTTGCTTCTTACTTTCTTCAGACTTGGTCGGAATACTCTCTACAGCTTTACGAGGAAATTCTATAATATGCTGTAAAATGCCTTCGATATAGTCCGACGTCATAGTTATTTTAAAAAGGAAATCCTCGCAGTAAAGAGTTCTGATGAAATCCCTCCATCACCAATCTCCCATTTGCGCAGAAAGACTAGACTTATTACAGTGTATTTAGGAAACATTTTTGGGATACCTATAGCGAAATTTCTATTGGTGGCAAACATTCTTGGTGATGACATTTTGAGATTATGATTTGTCCCTTTTCAATAGCACTAGCGATTTCTACATAATTACTACAAATCAATTTAGAATCTTTAGTCGCCTAAGGCCTAAGGCATACCTCACGCGATATCAGTCGCTGGGCGATTCGGCACGGAAGCGACAGTCCGTAATTGGTCCTTACCGCCCTTTGTTTGAACAGGACTTGATCTGCTTGCAAGAACTTACAAAAGCTATACGCCTATGCATTTGAAAATCGCCCAAGACATTTGTGAAAATCTGGCAAAACGCCAAGTCGCGTGGACGTCGCGATTTGGTCAAATCGCGTGAGGTATGCCTTAGGCCTAAGGCCTCGGGCAGAGTTCACGCGATTCGATCGTCGCGATACAGTCGCGACAAGACAACTGTTACGAGTTCATTGCATGCCGATCAGCTTGCATTTCGGTTGTAATACTTTTCCAGCACGAAATTTTTAAATGTGAAGTGAAAATGACTGAAAATTGCGGCGATTAAATCGCGAATAGTAAATCGCGTGAACTCTTTCCGAGGCCTAACGGGCCGGGCATACTTCACGCGATTTGGCAATATTCCAAGTGCTCATAACTCATTGTAAGCACATTCTAAATGTACAAAAGACAGGGCGTTTCATCAATTTACGTAAGTTGTACACCTATGCATGTGCAGTTTGCTAGCGTTGGATTGGAAGACTTCTGGCGATTTGCCAAATCGCGTAGCTACTGAAATCGCGTGAAGTATGCCCGGGCCTTGAGAAGGCATTGAGGAATGGACAAATCTAATATATCTAATATATACATTCACGAGCAGACCATTTATCAACTTTTGCCATTTCGGACATAGCGTATTTGCAATGAAAGTTACAATCATAGTGGGTCCTACGTTCCAGAATGGTAGTCTTAGGACTACAGCTCACTCTAGTGAGCGTTCGATACACCGGGGGTAGTACGGTCCGAAGTGGGAGAACCTAGGGGTCATGTTGTTCGTCAAGTAGCCTTTTTAGCTCAATGGTGCTTAGATTGATCTGCGATGGATCTGATTAATTCAAACGTGTACAAAATATTTACTACGACAAAGAGTCTCTCAAGAATTACTTCGCTCAGTTTACATTTAGTTCTATCTGCAAGTGTCCTGTAATACTACTCAGTACATCTGCACTGCTAGGTCCAACATAAATGTACACCATTAGAAGTCACATGATTTCAAGAAAAAGAGTGAAAGACAATGTCATTGCAGTTTACAAGACAAGAAACTGGATGAGATAAAGACAGACGCCTCTGGTAGCTTCTATCTTTCCGCAACCAGAAAAGAATTCATTAACCCCACAGTCCAGATTTATCACAAGTGCGGTTACAGTGGAGTGAGTAGATAAGATTCTTTCTTTCTTGGTTAGAAACTAACATCATACTTCAGCCATGCTATATGAAGTTTGGATTCAATGTTAAGAAGAAATTCATCAGCTCTGGTAGCAAACCTCAGGAAGCATACGACATCGGAATACTCGATCTTCAATCCACTGGACACCCTGTAAAGCCACCCTGCCACTTCTAAAGATCGAAATCGAATAAAGTTAGCACTGCTTGCGCTCACGCAATAGTAAATCATTACCTTACTACGCGCACTCCCTTTATAATCACGTATACTTTGAGCTAGTCTTGATTATGCACAGTTGCTCAGTACAGCACAAGAGAAAGGAGACAGTGCACCATTGTTCCTACGCCTTTGCGCAAGTATGAAGCCATAGGAGAAAGAAATTTACCCGTAGATTTTGTAGCGGTTGAAAGTGTGAGTCTGTGGATTATAAACAGGAGTGCGAATCCGCCAAAGATCCCTTAGAAGAAAAAGTTGTGGTAACCACAATATTCTAGGAATGCTGGAGGTGCATCCAAACATTGAAGCTGGCTCAAGGGCCATAATATACTGCAGAAGGTCTGATAGCTCAAAATGAAGCCAAATCACTGACGAATAATATTGTTTGGAAAACCAACTGAACTTGGGATAAAAGATCACCAATTTCAAAAAGGCTAAAATGAACTTTAATTTTCGTAATATAAATTGCTGCAAGCTTTTGGGTAGATAAGGTCCTTCATTAGATGTCATGTTGTGAAATTAGAAAAAAGGAAATCACCTAAGAATTAAGATACTTGCATCCTAGAGATATAGCACATTCACCTGCAATTTTCCTGTCATGGTAGAGTGGCCGTGCCGAAACTGTTGAGATCGTAAGGACTTTCTTTAACTTTGTCAGAACTCAAATTCAAATGATTAGTTTCTAACTCTTGTTCTTGCCTTTTTGCACTCTTAAGGTATATTTTGGATGTAGCATAAGGAATGACGGTCTCAATGTGGGAAATAGGTAATTATCGTCAATGGGCGCCAACTCTCGGACCACTGCTCCTCGAACGCATGTAATAGTGCGTGCAAAAGAACAATTATATAATCCGTATCGACGGTAAGCGGCGAATTTAGTTATTACCCCATGGTTGTGCCTTCAATTTTCCTATAGTCCTAATCTCTGCCCATGTACAATCTATTTCTGTATTGTCACGAATGTAGCAAGAATAGTGCTGACCTATTGTCGTTGTTTCCTTCAAAGTGAAGACATTTGCCGTTTCCTCCAGTTTCTAGCTAGTATATAAAAGTTCAAAATTGTTTTTTGTGCGTACATTAACACGTTGACGACAGTGCCGCGCAATGGTGCGCGGCGGCCTTAATTTCAATACTATCTGTCCAATCCTCTCAGTTTTTGTTCATATGATCAACATAGGCTCAGATATACTTCATGTATTAGCTCCGCCCCTTTTGGCAAACTCCGCCCACTCCTATGCCTCCCACAAGAGCCATTTTTGTTCATAAAAAGCATGGATGTGGCCGTAAATGAACGCAAAGACCTCAAACAACTTTCAGCCAGGCCCCGCACACCTTCAGGCAAGCTCCGCCCCATAAGTGGCAAGCTCCGCCCCCTGAGTGGCAAGCCCCGCCCACTTTTAAAAAGTGCCGGAATTTGCATGAATTCATTGATTTTGGGCAATTTCCAGCATTGAAAAGTGGGCGGGGCTTGCCAAAAGTGGGCGGAGCCGCCCCGCCCACCTGAATTTTTGTATCTCACGCATAGATGCATGCATACATACCTACATGCAGCCAGCTGTGAAAGTGCCGGGAAACGGTTCGTCCACAGGGACAGACCTTCAAAAAATGGCTCGTCGTCAACGTGTTAAATAGATAAAAATTCATGTTGCTAACACGAAGGGTCGTGAAACATACACCATCTAATTTCATACTCACTACCGATTTCACTCAATGTAAAAAATTGTTTATTAATGGCTTTTACACGAATAGATTAAGTAAGCTAATTTCTTAGGTAACAAGAAAAGCTAGAGATTCTGCACAGCTTCTTCTCATGTTTAGGCATTTGTTTCATTAATGGGTAGAAAATTCGCGGGAGATTTTTTCTCTGATCCGTTGCACATCCGCATGAATTTGCCGAACGAACCTACATGAATCAACCATGAATAGAAATATTGCATCTTCACCAAAGGAAAGAGTAAATGTAGACACCATTGAATATTTGATCAAATTTAGATTAAGGTGCTGATGGTATAAGAATGCAAAAAGTCCTAATTCAATTGCAAAACTGACTCCGTAGCATTCTAATGAAAAATTTATTCAAGAAGATAATCCCAAAAAGCGTGTTGAGCTATAATCCCAAAAAGCGTGTTGAGCTAGAGTGTCGCCACCAGTTTGTTATGGGCGGCACCAATGCAACATAGGCTCGGGAATTTTGGTTCGGCTCCAAGGCAAGAATGGCAACTGTCGCGGCTCGCGATCGACCGCTCCTCACAGCATGTGGCCGGGAGCACCGTGTTGCCGCGCGTCTCGGTCGTGAGCACGGTCGCCGCGCTTTACGGCGGCTACCTTGTTCGCTCCGAGACCACACCATGTAGGCACGTCCCCAGCCACAGCTATAAATAGCGCGCACGCGCGCCAGTGCGGCCTCTCTCGTCTTATCATCTTACTATTATCGTCGTGCCGCCTTTGTTATTGATTGGTTGGGTTTCCACGATATCGCCGTCGTGTCTACGTCCCCGTGCCTCGCGCGATTGGATGGATCGTTGATGGATTATTTGGATGTACGCGCGAGGATAGAATTCCAGGATGATGAACATCACGAAGCGCCTTGGTCGCGCAGGACCCGTTGGGAGCTTGGTTCGATGCTGCTGATTAACATCATGGGGTCGGTGTTGCCGTGCCGTAGCTGCTGCCTTGGCGGCGCGCGGCCGGCCTGTGGGTAGCTCCCTTGGATGCCGGGAGAGTGTGAGAGTGTGTTAGTGTGTGAGTGTGAGTAAGCTAGAGTCCCCATCGGTAGCCCGGGGCAGAGCTTAACTCTCCCCGTGGTACGTATGTTTATATTTATTTATATCGTGTAATTTTTTCGTGTTTATTTGTTTAGTAAATTTATGTATATTTATTGTTTCCTGTGCAGTGTAGGCGTGACGCGCCATTGTGAGCTGGCGCGCACCCGCAGTGGCGGAAGTCCTTCGGGGACAGGAGCTGGACGCAAGGCAGTCGAGCACTAGGTGAGGGGCGCAGAGCCCACCGAGCCGCAACAGCAACCATCTCATTAGGTCTCTTTTCCACATAACTTCTCCACAAAAACTTTGATTTCAGAGAGGAAAACGCCGACAAGCTCGGCAATCGCCTAATGGAACGATTTACGCAGAGGGCGACCACCTCCTTACCCACCCGAGATGGAGTCCGCTCAATGGTTCTTCAATCACTGCTTCCCTCATGTGGAAGTACGATTTAGTCAAAGCTGGAAAATAAGTTCTCTTTTCCTGATAGGATGGAATCCGTTCTTCATTGAGACGACTTAGTTGAAAACAACCAATTTTAAAGATGGTTTCTTATGGGGGGTGCACCACAACAAGTCGTGAAACTTACAAGGGAAGGATACTTGGTCGAAGTGACGTTTCTACATGAGATGAATATTGCTCTATAGAACATGGAACGCCGATTTTAAATCTGTTTTCGGTACCTGCAAAGGCTTCTGGGAGGAGAGTTATGGACAGGGCTCGGCACGAGGTGGCTAGTTGAAAATGCAAAAAACGAAGTCCCCCTTGACTTCGCCACAAAAGTACGACATCTTCCTTGACACGCTAACGAACAAATCAAACATGGAAACAAAAAGAATGAAACGGAGTAAAAGACCGACAATAAATAGACAATAAGAACTAGTGATTGTTTGTATTCTCCGGATTGACGGCATGCTGTGTCCGCCGCGCACCACCGTGAGCTTGGAGCAGCTTTGCTGCCATCTAGATAATTTGGAGGGCTATAACCAGAGGTGCGATAGTTGGAGCCGAGTCTCCGCCTACCTTCACTTTTGAGCTGGTACCGGGTGACCACCTTCACTTTTGGGTTTGAAAAAAATTTTTTGCTGAAGATTAAAAGAAGGAAAATGAGCAAAAGAAACGAAAAAGAAAGTATTGAGAGCATATATCCATGTAGTAGGTCAATCTAGGCAGTAACCGCAGAGAACCAGTATTTCGAGTGACAAAGTAGCGAAAAATCATGCGAAATTTCCACTGTTATAAATCTGGTGGTCGAAGATGTCAGCAACTGCGACTTCATAGGTTTTGAAGAGCAAGCGTTGTTCTACCAGATAGTGGAAGAATCGAGTCGATTTGAGCAGTGGCCGCCGAGAACGAGAATTTTGAAAAATTAAGCGATTTTAGGTTGCTTAGTGACAGCTGACGTTTAAACTCCTATAAATCTGGAATGTGAAAATATGCAATGTTGCGATTTCATAGGTTTTGTGGAGTAAGGACTGCTCTACCGGAGTATGCCTTAGCCGTACCGATCCATTGAAATAGCGCCGAGATTTAGGGTCTTGAAAAAGCAGGTAAAAAAACCGCTTTTTGAAATTCAACAGCTCATAACTTCTTCAGAATTGCATGAATCATGTTGCGACTTCATAGGTTTGATTCTTCTCATCAAGAGCTTTCAGATGATATATAATATGTGGGGGATTCGCGCCTTTCACGGCATATGCCCGGGGGTGGAGACTTTTCACCCCAAAATCTCCACTGGCGGTCTCCGGCCAATACATTAACATGGGCGAGGTGGAGACTTTGGGGTGAAAAGTCTCCACCCTGGGTTAGAGCCGCAAAAATCATTGAACCCCCCACATACTATATATCATCTGAAAGCTCTTGATGAGAAGAATCAAACCTATGAAGTCGCAACATGATTCATGCAATTCTGAAGAAGTTATGAGCTGTTGAAGTTCAAAAAGCGGTTTTTTTACCTGCTTTTTCAAGACCCTGGATCTCGGCGCTATTTCAATGGATCGGTACGGCTAAGGCATACTCCGGTAGAGCAATCCTTACTCCACAAAACCTATGAAGTCGCAACATTGCATATTTTCGCATTCCAGATTTATAGGAGTTTAAACGTCAGCTGTCACTAAGCAACCTAAAATCGCTTAATTATTTAAAATTCTCGCTCTCGGCGAGTACTGCTCAGATCGATCTAATTCTTTCACTGGTAGAACAACACTAGCCCTTCAAAACCTATGAAGTCGCAGTTGCTGACATCTTCAACCATCAGATTTATAACAGTGGAAATTTCGCATGATTTTTCGCTATTTTATTATTTGAAATTCTGGTTCTCGGTGATTACTGCCTGGATCGACCTACTTTATTTGCAGTACGTTATAACAAAATCTACTTAATGAAATATGTAAAGTCTAACTGGGATTTACTTACAAATAGACCATTTGAATAACATAATTATTTCTTTTTATTTTATTTTTATGCCGCTATACTCATCGTATTTGTGGCCCTAAAGAGGGCCGTTAGGTCACGCTTGTTGGCCCTCAAGGAGACCTTTGGGTCAGAGTTCTTCAATTATCCGAAGTCGTCCCCCCCCCCCTTCTCCCCTCCCCCCCCCCCCGGTCGACGTTTTTGGGAGGTGAGTGTCCGGCACTACCACCTTCACTTTTGGCCGGCCAGTGGTAGCTGGAACCACCTTCACTTTTGGGGGGCCCGGCTCCACCTATCGCACCTCTGGCTATAACTAGGCGGGGAGGAGAGGGTTTGGGGAGGTACAAGAGCTGTTTTGTAGAGTATGAGATGTAGATTACTTTTATGTAAAAAATTTCAAAAAATTCTGTAAAGAATAGGAATTATATGACTTTGTTTGCGCTAAGCCACCTCAGATGGCGAGCCAGGTGGCTTGAAAGCCACCTAACCTCGAAAAAAGTTTGCCATGCCCTTAGTTCACATAATTTTTTCATAATTTTTCATAGCTAGTCCCAACTCCTCATTGCCCATCTACACACCTATTTTGGTGCCATTTCATCTTAACTTCGCTGTAAACAAACAGTGGCGGTAGGACGGTCTAGACCGCAGCTTCCACTGACTTAGCAGAACAACTGGTAAAATATAATGGTTTATCAGTAACTAGCTGGCTTACCCGGCTCCGCCGTATGTTCCGAATAGAAAATTCCATTTCTTAACCGATCCGAACCAAATTTGGCATACATACCCTTCGGGCCCCGGCGGGTGTCACAGTCCACTTTTCGTTATCGATCGATGTCGGTTTTATCGATTTTTTGCAAAATTTGAGCTACGGGGCTGGGAGTTGGCAGAGGGGTGTAATCGAGCATGCTGATCACCCCCGTGGGGGTGATCAGCATGCTCTACCCCCTTGTGCCAAATCCCAGCCCCGTAGCTCAAACTTTGCAAAAAAATCGATAAAATCGATAAAAGTAAGGCACGATTCTAAAAACTAATATTGTATTCGGAATCCCCATGCTCACTTACCCCCCTGTGCCAACTCCCAGCTCCGTAGCTCAAATTTTGCAAAAAATCGATAAAATCGATATTGATCGATACGAAAAGTAGCCTATGACACCCGCCAGGGCCCGAAGTGTATGTGTGCCAAGTTTGGTCCCGATCGGTTCAGAAATGGAATTTTCCATTCGGAACATACGTACACACAGACAGACATACAGACAGACATACATACATACAAACAGACATTCAGCTTTATATATAAGACTAGCTGGCTTATCCGGCTCCGCCGTATGTTCCGAATAGAAAATTCCAATTCTGAACCGATCGGGACCAAACTTAGCACACATACACTTCGGGCTCCGGTGGGTGTCATAGGCTACCTTTCGTCAAAAATCATCGATCGATATCGATTTTATCGATATCGATCGATGATTTTTGATTTTTTTGCAAAACTTGCAAAAAAATATCGATCGATGACGAAAAGTAGCCTATGACACCCACCGGGGCCCGAAGTGTATGTGTGCTAAGTTTGGTCCCGATCGGTTCAGAAATGGAATTTTCTATTCGGAACATACGTACATACAGACATACAGACATACATACAGACATACATACAAACAAACATTCAGCTTTATATATAAGATATTATTTCGTATATTTGGTATATATAATTTCATCGGGAAACGCCATTTCAACGAAGTATCCTTTCCTTATATAGTATGCGACTGTCTTTGAAAGTACAAGCAATGAAGGTCTAGTAAGCAGCCGAGGAAGGACGAAGTTTAGAATTCTGGGTGGAACATGCAAAGTCATGTACCATTCATTGGCAGCATTGCTGTACGAAAAGGAATCGCACTTTTTTTGACAATAAGGATTTATAAAAAAAAAACTCTCGCGCTAGCCTTTATCAGTACGCATGCGAAGTTACCAAGGATGAGCAATGAAACTTCAAAATACAATAAAGGGAATTTTTGGCTTTGACCTCTCACGTCGTGACTACCGTAAAGCTACCGTATCCATGGATTGCGAGCAAAGCGTTAACAACAGCATGATAAACCTCCAATCTTAATTTATTTACATATTTTACACCTCCAAAACCGATCGTATTGAATGCTGTGATAATTTCCACGCATGATCACAATCGATTTGCAGCGACTTTTGCCTGAGCAATATGGTAGGAGAGAATATTTGCCATTTGGCAACATATTAATACATTTTGAGCAGGGTAGCCAATGCATGCTACCACTTAAAATGGCCGTCCCTCTAAAAAACGCTGTAAAAAAATGTTTCAAAATGGTAAAAATAACGCTTATTCGTATCTAAGCCGAGCAAACAACGACCATGCCATCAGATGTTTGTGAACATGAGGAGCTTCGCCGTTTCTCTATCAACTTTGACATTTGGGTCTTTTTTGCAACAGTCATTTGTGCGCGCTTTGCTACATTTTGGTCGATTATGTTTATTGTGGTCTTTCCGTTCTCGCGAAGATTGCCATACAATGGCACTCTGAGAAAAACTCTGCTAATCGTATACACTTATGCAAATATGGGTTCAAAAGTCCATTCAACAACTACTCTCAACTGTATAAATGCGAGAAATCCGACCAATTCTACATAAAACCGTCCAAATTTCAAGATAACGGTTTGTCATATTTCTTTCTTCTACTCTAATAAACCACTAATTTACAGATGCAGTATCCAATTGCGTTCTTGTTAGCTGCGCTCCTGGTAAGCCAAACAGAATGCCTCTTGGGAGTTGGTAGGTTGCAGTCTGTGGCAGTGAAAGGTGTTTTGGAGTGTAACGGAAAACCAGCCAAAGATGTGAAGGTCAAACTTTACGAGAAGGGACGCTGTGAGTTTTGATGTTGAACAAGATTTTCATGTTGATATGTGCTCATCACCCTCAATCAATGATGCAGGGTTTGTAAGCTCAGCGGTCTATAGTACTGCATAAAATAATCGTCATTCTGTTGACAGTTTGAGCTGTAGAATGGCCATGAAATGCTTTTTTTTGCTCGTGCTTTCGTTGGCAAACATTCTTGCTAATGGCGCTTCAATATTAAGATTTGTCACTTTCAACAGCACTAGCGATTTCACATAATTACTACACATCGGTTCTCTAACGCTCCAGACGCCCTAAGAAAATATTGAGTAAATCTAACACATTTACGGCCGGACCATTTATCAATTTCTGCCATTCCGCAATGTCAAAGTTACGAACCATAGGGGTCTTAGATTCCGATCTGGTACTCTTCGGACTAGAGCTCCACTCAAATGTCTTCAAGCATGTGCCGCAATCTCGAAGTTTTATCGTAACTTTTGAAGGTTAATTTCACGGGTAAACGATCCATCGGTGGGTCGTATGGTCTCCTAAGTAGAGAGCACGTACGGCCTATGGGTCGAATTGTCCGTGTGGCATGTTGACCTTCTTACCTCTTTCAAATGGTGCTGCTTTCGGTTGATCTGCGATGGACTTGCGTGATGTTGCGTTAATTCTGTGTGTGTTCGAAAAATGTTTATTACGACAAAGAGTCTCTCAAGAATTACTTCGCTTAGATTACATTTAGTTTTATCTGCAAGTGTCATGTAAACTTTGCTACTCAGTACATCTGCGCTGCTAGGTCCAACATAGTTATACATCAATAAAATCACATAATCTTTAGAAAAAGAGTGAAAGACAATTGTCATTGCAGTTTTCGACAAGAAACTGGATGAGAAAAAGACAGACGCCGCTGGTAGTTTCTATCTTTCTGGAAGTAAAAGAGAAATCACCAACATTGACCCCAAAGTCAACATTTATCACAGGTGCAACTACCATGGAGTAAGTAGAATAAAGGTTCTTCTTGGTCAGAAACTAACATCATACTTCAGCCATGCTATAAGAAGTTTGGAATCACTATTCCGGACAACTTCATCAGCTCTGGTAGCAAACCTCAGAAATTATTTGACATCGGAAGACTCAATCTTGCTGGAAGAATGCCTGGACAAACTACGGATTGTTTGAACTAGAGATCGACTCGAATAAATCTTTAGCATTCACATACTAGTAAATCATTCTTACCTTACTGTCACACTATAGCTATGTAACTAATTATGACAGCTAGTCGCGTTTAACATCGCACGGCTGTTCAGTAAGCGCAGTAAAAAGGAGGCAATTAAAGTAACTTGTCATATCACCGCAGTTGTCTAAAATCTGAGATGAAAACTTCAAGGCAGTGTACGAGCAATCTCGGGACCCGAATTTTTGGCGCTATGAGAAAATGGCGCCTTGTCTATGCCCTGGCGCAGGTATGAAGTCGTATGGAAAAGAAGTTTAATCCCATATTTTTTAGCTGGTAAGTGTGAGCCTGTGGGTTATAGGTAGGAGCGCGAGTCCGTCAAAGAAATCCTTCTGGATGGATATGCAAATCACAGTAGTTTTTCCTGCATAGACCCAGGAAACGCTCGGAATATTGGAGGTACTTTTGCACATTAATGCTGGCTCAGGGCCATTACATGCTACGGAAGGCCTAGATTCGAAAAGGAAATAAAATAATAAAGAAAACATTTTTGAGAATACCAATTGAATTTGAGATAAAAATCAACAGGTTCAAAAACGCCATATAAGGTTCTTAGATAAACTCCAACTTTTGTGACTACATAGCTACATCCCGGCAAGCTTTTGAATCGATAAATTCCTTCAACGGAATCCATATTTGGACTGTAAAAGAGAATATTGCTTGAGAGTTCGGACTTGCATCCTAAAAATACAGTTCATTTACGTGCAATTCTCCTGTCAGGGTAAAGCGCGCATGCCGCAGCAGGGGAGGCGTGCCAGTGGTACCCAGGCAGCCGACTACTGCCGCAGCAGCCGCCAGAGCTGGCGTCAGGCATCGCCGCATACGGTAAAATAATTACGCTAGTGTCTGAAATTTCCTGCCAAGAGATCTTCTCCTCGCACTTCGTCGCGCTGAGGTGCGATATCAGCCTCAGGGACACCGCTATTATTGATATTTATATCATTTTGAACAGCAAAAACTCTGTAATTTACTGATAAAAATTGAATGAACAAGCTTGCACAGAGTAGAGTTTTCCCAAAGGAAAAGGATTATGTAAGTCAATTCCTTAAGAAACCAGAAGTCGAAATAATTCAAGATGCAAAAAAAATGTTTAGTTATCAAACTTTATTCCTGGGATTCATAATCGGAGGAGAACGTACGAATCATAATGGCGAAAAAAAGTCTGTCAAAATTAGCATTTCAAGACTCAATGATGTTAAGCGAGCTGAATAAGCCAAGGTAGGTCAAATAGATGAGCCGAAGTAGGTCAAATAGATGAGCCGAGGTAGGTCAAATATATGAGTAAGTAGTACGATAACTCGCTGGGTTCTTCTATCGATTTATTGAATTGTTTACTTAAATCCCAAAATGAAAGCCCTTCAATTACTATCATATCATTTCCCCAAGCAAAGTAGAAGAGAACGGTAAAGATCATTTACATTCTGAGGCAAAGACGATGCGGTCAGAGGCGACCAAGAAGGAAGACAACAACTACGGAACCACGAGCGATGCATTGCAAACCAGGAGCGAAACAGGAAGGAAGACGGAAAGGGGTAACAAGAATTAGAATGAAAAGAGAGGGACGAATTGTAAGTTCCAAGACGTTTTGATCACTATGCCAGGCCAGTTCACCAATGCTCGGGCTGGATCGGGACGTCGGCTAGTTTACTATATTCCGCCTTCGCTCTCTGCGAACTTTTAATTATTTTTTGATCATTGCGCTTAATACGAATTTTCCGATCTCGCAGAATGTAATATCAATTGTGTTTTTCCCAGAATGTAGCGATACACACACTTTGGGAATAGAAGTGATAATTGTGTAAACTTATGCAGAGTGAGTCTGCATTTCCAATTCAACATTTTAAATTCATAAAAGCATCAAATGCTCATGTTCTGCACGACACTTCCACGCTACAGCAAAAGGTGCTTTGTTCCATTTATCTTCTTCGATGCACTTCAGTTGATCAGCATTTTATAGATGCAAAGGGCACCGCTTTTGTTATCTGTTCTATTCAAATTAACAAATTGCTTTTCGATGAAGGTAGGTAGGTTGCAGTCAGTAGCGGTGACAGGTGTACTGGAATGTAATGGAGCACCAGCCGAAAATGTAAAGATCATGCTTTACGACAAGGGTATCTGTGAGTTTTGCTTCCATTTATAAAAGCTTTTTTCCTCTTACAAGGGAATGGTCAGAAGTTAAAGTGGCCAATCCAAAAAGCTACATATTATTAAATGCAGCCTATAACGCTAACTTCGAATTTGTATTCCATATCTGCTTAGCGCCTATGTGGGCGAAGTTATGAGCCGTCGAAGGCGGTTATTTCGTTACCAGTGCGTCACTCACTTCGTCAAACAACTACTCATTCCTAAAGCTTTCTCGTGTGAGATCGTATTTTCGCGTGGATGAAACTTCTCCCAGAACAATAGATGCAAATTTGAATCGGTTTTTGGGTTTGCTATAGCTTGATAGTCGCCATAAGGGCAATAAATATCGTGGGCTACATTTCTAGGCAAAAATCTCCTCAAATGATCAATTAAATTCTTAATAAATTGAACATTTACGTAACTAATTCTTTTTGGCGCAATCTTCGTAAAGTAATCATCTTTAGTTCAATTTTCTGGGCTAAAGTCCATGGCTTCCACATTAGCTTGTCAGACATATCCACGACTTCGCAAAAAGTGGTGGAACAGGTCCAATTTTGCTGGCCAGAAGCGATTTGGATCCGTTTGACGCGCGATTTTTGAGGGATCCACTCAGCGGATCCGCTCGTGCTTTCGCATAGTGGACTTTCACGCTGCTCGCATGCGCCATGCAAAATTTGGGATCAGGATGTTGGCTGGAACACGCTCTATGAATTTCGTAACGGACGCACATACACACAAAAAACGTAAACAGCCCTTAGCCCGTTATTATATTTTGTTATTTTGCTAAGAAATCGTGCATACGAAGCGCAAATGTGGCAGTACAGAGCCATGTTCGGCATAATGCTGGGCCAAAACATGCAGCTAGGTTACTTTGAATTCTTGAAGCTCGAAGGTGAGCTAAGAGTGCAACTATGCGCCCAATTTCGCACTTTTTATGTGCGATTTCTTCGCAATAAAACTACTCATAATTTCGTCCACAAAGGATCTAAGCAGATCTAGAGATGCAGGTTCGAAATCAGCGTTGAATGCTGCAGACTTTAACTTCTGGCTATTTCCTTAATGTAAAAAAAATATTGCAGTATCCAACTCGAAACTGGACGAAGGAAGCACAGAAAGTTCTGGTAGATTCTATCTTTCTTGGAGCAAACGAGAAGTTACCAAGATTGATCCCGAGATCAGCATCTACCACAATTGCAATCACAATAAAGTAAACGCTGGGATCCTTCTCGTGTTATACATTAGTTTCGCACATTCAGCAATGCTACAAAAGGATTAGAATCGGTATTCCAAAGAAATTTATCAGTATCGGTAGCATCCCTTTCTATACTTTCGATATTGAGAAGCTCGATCTTGCTGTCGGAACTTCTGGTGAAACTACGAGATGCTGAAACTCTTGTTCTTCTAAATAAAACTGTGTAGTGTTAGTTGCGTCTGTGGAGTCATCTTTGTGCAACTACACAATCTGTAAAGGCTACTGCATGACGAAGGTGCAGAATTAGTATTAGTTGAGTGGGCGCGAACGCGACGCGCGCGTATCTTCATCGTTGTAGGTCCTGCTCCTCTTGCACTTCGCGGATAATAAAGCCGCGCTCGCAGGATGCGGCTGAAGATATTCCGCCTTTGTCATGCGGCAGCCTATGATATGGACTTGAGTGTAGGACGTTTCGCACGACCGTAATGTTTTCCTAACGGGACCACCGCCGCTCGCGATACACATTGCAGCGGCTTTTGCCTAAGCAAAACGAGGGGAGGAAAGATTTGCGGCATGCGTGACACGTTAAAACAAGTCAAAATCAGGGTGGCGGTAAATGGTCCATGCGATAAGACCGTCTTCCTATGGACTTAACTGAGAGGAGAGAAGGGCACGCTGGGTACGAGGAGACCGGTTTAAGCGGGTCAACAAAGGACGACTCTTGTAATCACTTTCTCTATCAAGAGACGGTTGATGGGCATCACAGAAGACTAAAAAACTGACTTGAGTCAGTGACCAAGCTTAGCCTTGAAGTTACTGTATTCGAAAAATTCAGTAACCTTCTCGGAAATGAAGCAGAATGCTGGCATGCTCCTTGTCGACTGAAAATGCCGCATCCTTTATCTCTTAACTCTATACAAAGCAAGCAATTGTAAGTCGTAGCGTAAGTATCAATGCGACACATCAAAAGAATACTACAGAATAGCTCAAATAGATATATTAGCTCAAATAGATATATTGTGCTCCAACGAGGATCTTCGCGTTACCTCGAACATGAGTAACAGAACCTTTATTTTGAAAACGGAGAGGAACTGAAGTATAAAGTTGTCCGGAAAATAATGTCGCATGGCATCCTACCTCGACAAAATGACCACAGAAAACATCGAATGGGGTATCATTCGATGGAGCAAAATAAGCTCTACAAGCTAGTTCACAAATCTCCGCGGAGATCTTGCTCCATTTGAAGTTCGAATCCAAAATATAAAAAATTTCAGACGCTCGAAAAATCGTATCTCCGTTCACAGACGTCTTAGAGATCTCCAATTTGCACAGTCAGGTACTCTCTACACTAGACAGTCACCTGTATAGTTTGTGGTATTTTTCCATGGCTACAGTTCGAGAAATAGAAAGAAATCAAAAGTGCGAATATGTCGCGTTTTTCGGTTTTTTTACAAACAATTTGATTTTTCTCGAAAACTAGCGCTTGTCTAAAGCTGAAAATTCATGGTTATACTCCTAAAGGTTCATGCTACAGAATCACCCATGTGAGAGAAGCCCAGGACTGCTTTGGCAGAAATATGCCGAATTTGGTTTTCGCAATTTACAGTCATGGAAAAACCGCGAAAATGCGCATACAAGTGTCTCGTACAGTGAGTCCATGCGTGAGCAAGTTAGGAGTTCTCAGGACTTTTCTGAACGGAGATACGGTTTTTTTCGTTTTTTCAGATCTTAAGTGCCTTGTGAAATTTGGCTCCAAACTTCACGCAAATCAAACCTGGCGCGAAGGTTCGAGCTTCATTTTGTAGAGCTTGCTCTGGCCTATCGGTTGATACCCCACTCACTTACTTTCGTGCGCACCCTGCTGCGATGTTGCATGATAAAACAAAAAGCGACATTATTTTCCGGACAACCTAATTAGTAATTACAACCTAATTACTCTATAATTAAGAATCGCTTCATAATTATACTAATTATGAAGTGATTCTAATTATAGAGTGAACAGCCCCTGACTTATCGAGTTTCAAGGGACTTCTCACTTACAAGGGAATGGTCAGAAGTCGAAGTGGCCAAACCAAACAAGCTGTATATCATTCGATGCAGTATAAAACGCTGACTTCGAATCTGTCTTCATTATCTGCTTATCGCTCCTGTGGACGACTACAAGCGGTTTTATTGTGAAAAATCATACATAGAAACAGCGAAATTTAGCACACTGTTGCACTTTTAGCTCGGCTTCTAGCTTTGAAAATTTGAAGTAAGCTAGCTGCATGTTTTGGCCCAGCATTAAGGCAAACGCGGCTCTGTACGGCTAAATTTTCAATTTCACGCATAATTTCTTAGCCAAATAATGACCTTTAATGGCTCATAGCTTTGTCCAGAAAAGCGATAAGCAGGTAAGGAAGACAGATTTAGAGTCACCGCTTCATGCTGCATCTAATGGTATGCAGCTTCTCTGGATTTGCCACTTCGATTTCTGACCATTCCCTTGTTAGGTCAAAGTGCTTGTGACTGACCCTTAGTGCACTTCTTGATGACTATTTGTTATTCCTGGCAAAGAAAACTTGTTGAATTGAATTCTATCCGGGAAGGCTCGTGGAACTGCCAGACATCGTTCATGGACGTTACAGTCTTTGGATCCTGTTATCTTGCAGGTGTCACGTCATTGTTAAATTAATCCGTGCTGACCAGCATAGATCGATCTCGGTCAAGTCAAACATGGCCTTGATCCAGTGAACTTGCACTTATAATCGCCCCAAAACTCGCATAGAGCCAGATTGTGGGCTTCCTCTAACAACATGGACGAACTTGTAGAACTTCCACCTTTTAAGGCCTTCAGAAAATCCGCTTACCGGGGATTACCCGCAACGCTGAATCCGAGAATCCACATCAGAAGGCGCGAAAACGGCGAGAACGTGCGTTTTTTTTTCAGAGCCTTACAATTCAAAATTTGATAGTCCCCGACAAGTGACGCAGAGTCGCTGCGAAAAACCCAACGCTTTTGACTGTGGCGACATGCGTACTCTGCCGCATAGCAAGAATTCAAACAAGTCGGAGGATCCCGCCCCAGGGCGTAAGTTTCCCCACATCCCGATCGTTTTTCTTGCTTTAGGTCGAACATTATAACCTCGGTCATTTCACGAGTGTACAGAAATTCTTCACATCATAAATTCATTTGAAAAACCACAGATACAAGAACATACATTCTATATCCCGGAGAAGAAACCAAAAAATGATGGTTTGCGTAGGTAAGGTCATTCAAATATCGAACATGCAGAAGTCTCGGTAAAAAATTAAAGTTTTTCCTTATCAAGGGGTACTCTAAAAAAACATGCTTCACAGAATACATACTCCTTCTACATGTCTTGCTGGATTCCGCAGATCGTCTATTCTTTTCGGTTATTCAAAGTACTTAGCACCAAGGGCTACGTCGTCAGAGATTAGGGGCGGCATGTATCAATCGCCCGTCCGGGAAGTTACCCGGACAGGTAGTTTCGGCTTCATAGCTCGGTGCTCTGGGGGTCTGTGTCCTTGCTTGTCCCTCATAGTTGGGAGGCTCTACTACCCTAATATTGTAGCACAATGAATAACAGCACTTTGCTGTTTAAAGGCAGTGGATCGGAACTTAACAACGCAGGATTCTAGAGGCAGTGTCCGGGCAAAAAGTCGTTTTTGAGATTTTGTGCTTACCCGGGCTTATTCACTATGTTGAATACGAAAATCCACATTGGAAAGCGCAAAAACGGCAAGAAAGGGCTCTAATGCAGCAGGGAAATCAAAAGTGGGCGGGGTCTTCCCCACTGTGAACTTCGCAATCCCAGCTTCTGGAGCGATCTTCCCAATTCCTCTAGCGCCCTGAGATCTCTACTTGCCAGGTGCGAATGCATTACTTGAAATCGGAACCGAGAAGATCGCTCTGGAAGCTGGGAGCGTGACACAATGGGAAGGACCCCGCCCACCTGCTGATTTCCCTCCCGTGTTAGAGCCGTTTTTCGCCGTTTTCGCGCTCTCCGATGTGCATTTTCGGATTCAGCGTAGCGAATAGGCCCGGGTAAGCAAAAAATCTCATGATCGAGTTTTTGCCCGGACACTGCCTTTAACACAGTAGGTTCCTTATCGCCCAAGTATGAAAACACTGCAATCCCGGTTGCACAGCATGCCTTTCCTGCCGAGAAAACTGCTCTCAAACTTACACGCGCAAGCCGATCTTACACGCGCCCGGGCGAGTTGAAAATTCCTTTCCCATTATTGGAGGCTGCCCGCCGCAATGCTATAACCATTGGGGCCTGCAACGATTCAGCATCATCAGCCCTGTTCCACTCTTCCAACTTTAAAGGGAAAGGCATTCAAAAACGCATGTTTTCGCCGTTTTCAAGCTCTCTAAAGTGGATTTTCGGGATCAGCGTATTGAATAACCCCAGGTAAGCAAAAACTTGACCAGGTTGCGATTTGCCGAGCCACTGCCTTTAAGCTGGGATAATTCGTTATTTGTATGTTCCCAAACGGGATCATCCTTTGATCACGCTCTTTTCACAGTTATTCATATCCGCAAAAACTCAATGAAAACGTTACGGAGTTTTGCAGTCGATCTATTACGGCAGTGCTATGTTTTTAGTAGCACAGATGAAATGTGCAAGTTTTGAGTTTTTCAATGAAGCCCAACTCGCGAGCCAGGTTTATCGAAGATTTTGTCAACTTGATTTTATTTATTTATTCCACACGCATAAAAGTGCGCCAAAAAGAATACATATATGAGATAAGTGGTATCATTGAAATCAGTAGCCAATTTGAGTCCGTGGCTGGAACTGGAACAAGCAAGTCGTTCTCCATTCTCCGGATGGCGGTAAATCCTCAACCGAGTTCCTGTTCCCTGTCCAAACGCAAGAACGTGACTAAAACTACCAGGGCTTGTCCGAACAACTTAGCCCGGACGAACGAATCCGTCCAGGACCCTGGGGGAGTGGACTGGGGGATCTCAAGGAAGGGGAACGCCAACTTTTGCTTTCCTCGAACGGCTAATCCAGGGGGAGAGATTGCAGATCTGTTCAAGACGGTTAGGCTACCAAAACTCAAATGCAGTAAAAAAAATTCGTTTACTTGCTTTGTAAAAAAAGAAAAGATAAAAGATCCAAAAAGGCATTAAAATTTAAAAGTGGAAAATTTGGCAAACGAGTAGGCAAAAGATGTGCAAAAAAAACA